GGCAGAGTGTTGGATGTGATCTATATGGACTTCAGTAAGGCATTCGACAAGGTTCCTCATGGTAGACTGGTAAGCAAGGTTAGATCACATAGAATATAGGGAGAACTAGCTATTTGGATACAGAACTGGCTCGAAGGTAGAAGATAGAGGGTGGTGGTGGAGGGCTGCTTTTCAAACTGGAGGCCTGTGGCCAGTGGTGTGCCACAAGGATCGGTGCTGGGTCCACCGCTTTTCATCATTTATATAAATGATTTTAATGTGAACGTAGGTGGTATGATTAGTAAGCTTGCAGATGACACCAAAATTGGAGGTGTAGTGGACAGTGAAGAAGGTTACATCAGAGTACAACAGGATCCTGATCAGATGAGCCAATGGGCCGAAGAGAGGCAGATGAAGATTAATTTGGATAAATGCGAGGTGCTGCATTTTGAAAAGGCAATTCAGGGCAGGGCTTATACACTTAATGGTAAGGTAATGGGGAGTGTTGCTGAACAAAAAGACCTTGGAGTGCAGATTCACAGTTCCTTGATAGTGGAGTCACAGGTAGATAGGATAGTGAAGGTGTTTGGTACGCTTGTTTTTATTAGTTAATGCATTGAGTATAGGAGCTAGGAGGTCATGTTGCAGCTGTACAGGACACTGGTTAGGCCACTATTGGAATACTGCATGCAATTCTGGTCTCCCTGATATCGGAAGGATATTATGAAACTTGAAATGGTTCAGAAAAGATTGATGAGGATGTTGCCAGGGTTGGAGGATTTGAACAATAGGGAGAGGCTGAATACAGTGGGACTATTTTCCCTGGAGCGTCGGAGGCTGAGGAGTAACCTTATAGAGGTTTATAAAATCAAGAGGGGCATGAATAGGGTAAATAGACAAGGTCTTTTCCCTGGGGTAGGGAAGCCAAAACTAGAGAGCATATGTTTAAGCGAGAGGGGAAAGATTTAAAAGGGATCTAAGGGGCAATTTTTTCACGCAGAGGGTGGTGCACGTATGGAATGAGCTGCTGGTGGAAGTTGTGGAGACTGGTACAATTATAACATTTAAAAGGCATCTGGATGAAAATATGAATGGGAAGCATTTAGAGGGAAAAGGGCCAAATGCTAGCAAATGGGACTAAATTTATTTAGGATATCTGGTCAGCAAGGACAAAGTGGACCAAAGGATCTGTTTCCGTGCTGTATATCTCTATGGCTCTATATGATATGCACAATGCAGCTCCTTTAAACTATTATACGTGCCTGGCAGCAAAAAGAAAATCTGAAGGAACTACACAATTGAACCAGCATCCATGTAAAACAGATTAGTGGAGAGATTGGCTCCAATCCCTTGCATTTTACAGTGTACACCAATAATGTAGACTTAACAGTGGAGTGAAGTCAAGAAGTTTGCACATAATACAAAAATTGAGAGGAAGAAAGTTGTATGCTGTAAGAAAATCTCAAATTGGTCAGTTGGGCAAAAAATGGCTCCTGAAGAAGTGTGAATAATGTCTTGGGTGATGATAAACAAGGCAAAAGAACACAAAATGGCAAAATTCTGAGTATTGTAGAGGTAGAGGTGGTTTTTCACTGCACGTCTGCAGATCCCTGAAGGTCGCAGAACAGCCAGCTATAATGGCCAAGGCAGGATATACTTTCCTTTATTGGTTGAGGCACAGAGTATAAAACGGAGTTTAAGCTAGAACCATATAAAATCAATATTTAGACTACAGCTAAAGTAATATATACTGTTCTGATTGCCATGTTACAGAAAGAATGTCACACCAGAGAGAGTATAGAGGAGATTTAAGACAACAAAGCCAGGAACAGAAAATTGTAGCTATGAGGGAAAGTATATGAATGCATTTTTCATTTAGGCAGAGAAGGGAGGATTGAACACTAGTGTTTGAAATTTAAACAAAAGGCAATTATAGAGCATGAACACAGAACTCGCTTACATTAACTGAGACACTCAGTTAAGAAGTAGGTCTGTAGAGATGCAGTGGCAGAAACTGTAGGGGATATTTTGGAATACTCAGAAAAGATCATTCTAGTGAGAAAGACAGATTCCAAGATGTGAATATGTTGATTCAGTTAATGGTTCTGAAAAGGCTAATGCTGGAGATCACATTAAGTACCACCCAATCTGATGATAACAAATGATCTTCAGTGGGCAATGTGGCTCTGGATCTCAAAAGTGTCCTCTATATCTCCAAATAACATTAGCAACAATGTCTAACTGGCTAATGTATCTTTTACCTAATTACTATCATGCAATAAACTAAAACTTAAGAGCCCATTCTTGTTAAAACTCACTATGGTTGGTTCTCTGCAATGGAAACTAAATAGGCCTGGAGACCAAGTCAAAGAAAGAGGAATGGTGATAGCATCCTTCTACCTATAGATACCACAGAACACACCATCCATGACTAAATAAGGAAATTAAAGATAGTATCAAACTGAAAGAGAAAGCATATAAATTCACAAAAGCCCTTGACAAAGTTAAACCACCTATATCGCTGTTTTAAGTCCAAACTCCAACAGATATTAACATAAAACATAGTGCACACGCCTCTTATCACAGTTGTTGACAACTACTGAAGGCAAGGGACATCTCAAGAAGTCACTAGGATGTGTTAAAACCACATCAAAAGAACACTTTTCAGAAGATTATGAACATGTTGATGTCCACGGATGCATTGGCCCTCTACGATCTGTCTATTGCAACCGTAACATCAGAGTTAAGGCACCCTGGGTCGTAACAACCATATTTTGATTGAATTTTATATCCAATTTGAAAGGGAGAAGATTGGACATAAGACTAACACGTTAATCTAAATTATAACAACAACGTGGCCTTGAAAGCTGAACTAGCTGAAGTGGCATACTAGACTAGGAGATGAACTAATAGAGATGCGGTTGGCAGACATTTAAGAGGATGAATTGTTAAGTATATTCCTACTATAAAGAAATATTCTAAGGGGAGGACCTACTATCTGTGGTTAACTTAAGTAGTTAAGGTAAGCATCAAACTTGATGAAAAACTATTTGATTGCACAAAGATGAGTGGCAAGTCAGAGGATGGTCAGAAAATTTAAAAAAGCAAACCATGACAAAGATTAATCAGAAGGAAAAAGTACAGTGAGAGGAAGCTAGTTAAAAAGGTAAAAATCAATAGCAATAGTTTCTTCAGATGTTGAAAAAGGAAAAGAGTTAGTAAATTGAGTGTTTGTCCTTTATAAAGAGAATGGAGAGTTAATCACAACTAATAATAAAACGGCACATGAAATGAACAAATATTTGGCTTATCTTCACTATAGAGGAAACAAAAAAAATTGGAGGTGGGATAGGAACTTAGTGAAATGATAATCATTAGGAAAGTGATATTAAGCAAACTGATGGAGAGAGAGAGAGAGGCAGAAAACGAAAATGGCTTGATATCTGTCATGTAGAATTTGTTGCAAAATATTATTAAAAAGGTGATAACTGGACTTGGAAAAACTCAACAAAATTCAGAGGAGTTAGCATGATTGTGAAAGGGAAATCATGTTTAAGTAATTCATTAGAGTTCTTTGAACGAATAGCACATGCTAGATAAAGGGGAGCCTATAGACACATGCTTTGATTTCCAGAAGATATATGAAAATGTGTCACATCAAAGGCTGTTGTGGAAATTAAAATCTAATGGTTTTAGAGTAGACTTATAGCTCAGGTTGCGGATGTTGTGGTTGGTCGGCTCGCCGAACTGGTTCGTTGTTTTTCCGCAGAAGTTTCATTAATCTGCTGGGTACCATCATCAGTGCAGCCTCCGGTGAAGCGGCGTTGTGTTTTCCCGCCTGTTATTTAAACTCTGGAGTCCGTTGAGCCAGATTACCATATACATTCCACTGTGAAGGAAAACCAGAAGTGAGGTAATCCAGCTCAACGGACTCCAGCGTTTGAATAATAGGCTGGAAAACACAACGGCGCTTCATCGGAGGCTGCACTGATGATGTTACCCAGCAGGGTAATGAAACGTCTGCGGAAAAACAACAAACCAGCTCGGCGAGCCAACCAACCACAAAAGCTAATGGTGTCGAGGGTAACATATTAGCATGGATAGAAGATTGGCTGGCTGTTAGAAAAGAGAACATATGCAAATAACTGGGTCTTTGTCTAATTGGCAGAATGTGACAAGAGGAATGCTGAAGGTTCTGTGCTGGGGCATCAAATTTTGTAATTTATATCACTAACTTGGTTGTGGGGACAGAAGACTTGGTAGCCAAATTTGCAGATAACACTGAGGGAGGTAGGATAGTATGTTGTGAAGGAGGCATATGAGTTTGTCGATTGATATAGAGGAGTTGAGCATGTAGACAAAAATATGACAGGTGGAGTATGTAGTAGGAAATTGTGATTAGTTCACTGTTCTTGTAGTTAATTTGCACACAGTAAAGATCACAAATACCAAATGTCAATTCCAGGCACTAAATCAAAATCTACACCAGTATAAGAAAACACTTGCATCTTTTAAAAAAACACTCAAAACTCATATTAAGGAATCAGTTATTCCTATATACATAATTCAGATAAAACAGAATAAAAATGAAAAGAATTGCAGATGCTGTAAATCTGAAACAAAGACAGAAATTGCTGGAAAATCTCAGCAGGTCTGGCAGCTTCTGAAGTATCAGTCAACCCGAAATGTCTGGATACTCTTCTCTCCACAGATGCTGCCAGACGTGCTGATCTTTTCCAGCAATTTGTTTTTGTTTCAGATAAAACAATTCTGTGGCAAACATTGATGCGATATCTTGCTTTATGATAGGTAAAATAGCCCCATCCTTGATTTGTTCTCGCTCAAAGCCAAATCGATATAAACCCAAATGCAGATACAAAGGTTGCAACTAATGCAAAGAAGTCCAGGCAAAGAATGGCTCATTGACCAGGGGACATAGTGCGTTCTTTATTTCATCATAAGCAGCACAGGCAGCAGTATTGGCGACTCAGCACTAGAGGTCACTACCCCCACCGCAAGTTGCATTTTTGGTCTGATTAATTCCCGCTTATTTAAAACGGCGCAGATTAACTACAATTTGGTTTGGGTGAAACGACAGTTGGCTATGGATGGTTTGCCACAGCAGCAGCAACCACACGCGACTGGACTGAACTGACTGAACCACCAGCCAACGCACGAACAGTTAGCCAACCTCCAGCAGAGCTTGTGCCACCAGATCAAGCTGCCGTGTGAGCATGAGGGAAGGTCTCACCGGGAAGCGGCTCCTCCTGTCGTCCCCTCTCACCTGCCGCCCGGCATCAAACCGCACTCCAGCCCCGCGAGCAGCGACCGTTTACCCGCACGGCAACCGCCGCCGGAACTGACGTCACCGGAGGGCGCTCGAGGGAAAGGGGTAGCTTTGGGCGACGGTGTCGGTAAGAAGGAATAAAGGAGGGGGAATCGCCAGGGAGGACAAACAGGAGCTTGGAACGGGCAAGTGGGAAGGTAGGTAATGGAGGGAAAGAGGTTGAAGGGAACAGGGAGGAAGGCATGGTGAAGGGTGAAGAAATGAGTGATAGGGACACTAGGAGAGGGACGAATGGAGAAGCTAAAGGAGGGAAATATGGGAGGAGGATGAGTGGGAACTAAAAGGACTTTGGAAAGGCAGAAAAGGGAGAGACTCGGACGAGGGGAAGAAGGGGCTAGACGGCAAACTTGTCTTTTTGAGTGGTATGTGTTTGTGTCTGTGGGGTTAATGGGATATAGTTTTGATTTCAGGTCATTGTTTGCCACTTGCTTTAAGAACAAATTTTCTCAATAAACGGATTATTTTGAGATCACTGAAGAAGCCTGATGGACATTTATTTTTGGATATTCATACAAAAGAGATGTAGTTGGCCATTTTGCTTATTGGATCAATACATTGACAGTAATGTGTAACTGGTGCAATAGTGGAACTTGATTATCAGTGCATTTCTCCTGACTCAGTCATAGCATTGAAAAATAGCCACGTCTGAAAACTGTTTCAGAGATAGTAGGAACTGCGGATGTTGGAGAATCTGAGAATAACAAGGTGTAGAGCTGGATGAACACAGCAGGCCAAGCAGCATCAGAGGAGCAGGAAGGCTGACGTTTCGGGCCTAGACCCTTCTTCAGAAATGGGGGAAGGGAAGGGGGTTCTGAAATAAATAGGGAGAGAGGGGAAGGAGGATAGAAGATGGATAGAGGAGAAGATAGGTGGAGAGGAGACAGACCAGTCAAAGAGGCGGGGACGGAGCCAGTAAAGGTGAGTGCAGGTAGGGAGGGGATAGGTCAGTCCAGGGAGGACGGACAGGTCAAGGGGGGCAGGATGAGGTTAGTAGGTAGGAGGTGGGAGGAAGGACAGGTTAGGGAGGCGGGGACGAGCTGGGCTGGTTTTGGGATGCGGAAGGGGGAGGGGAGATTTTGAAGCTTGTGAAGTCCACATTGATACCATTGGGCTGCAGGGTTCCCAAGCGGAATATGAGTTACTGTTCCTGCAACCTTCGGGTAGCATCGTTGTGGCACTGCAGGAAGCCCAGGATGGACATGTCGTCTGTGGAATGGGAGGGGGAGTTGAAATGGTTCGCGACTGGGAGGTGCAGTTGTTTAGTGCGAACCGAGCGTAGGTGTTCTGCAAAGCGGTCCCCAAGCCTCCGCTTGGTTTCCCCAATGTAGAGGAGGCCACAACGGGAACAGCGGATACAGTATACCACATTGGCAGATGTGCAGGTGAACATCTGCTTGATGTGGAAAGTCTTACTGGGGCCTGGGATGGGGGTGAGGGGGGAGGTGTAGGGGCAGGTGTAGCACTTCCTGCAGTTGTGGCGAAAATGCCGGGTGAGGTGGGGCTGGAGGGGAGTGTGGCGCAGACAAGGGAGTCAAGGAGAGTGTGGTCCCTCCGGAAAGCAGAAACTGGATATTTTTGTAATCTTTCATGGATCAATTTAAGTTGGAAATAATAGAAAAAACTTACCTGGATAATTTGCTTAGGTGCTGCATTGGCATAACCTGTTTTGCCTGCTGCTTTATTTGTGTTCCAATAAACCCTAGACCTTGCTTGACAGAGTAGGGTTGTCCCACAAAGTGGTCACCCAGCCCGTGATTAGTCTCCCCACTTTGCTTTGTTGAACAGCACAATTCTGTCTGCAAGCATAACCCAGTTGCTTATCATTTGAATTCTCCATCTTACACTCATGCTAACATTTCTGTTCATTGCCTGCGACTGTGTTTCTGTAAAGTTCGAGGAACAACGCCTTATTCAACTCAGCACTGAACTCTGCCTTCTGGAATCAACATTGTATTCAAAACTAAGTCATTACCTCTGCCTCCATCTTGTTTCATATGTTTTTTGTTTCTTTTGTTTTGCTGGAATGATTTTTATATCATCTTTCTTCACCCCTTTATGCTGCATTCAAATGGTTTTAATATAACAATTCTTGCCTCCTTTGGACATGACCTATGTTTCCTCATTATATTTGCTACTATTCTTTTTGACAATTATGTCATGAAATCTTTCATAACTTATTCTCCCTTGATCGTCACCCTATCACACATTCTCTTTGCGTTTTCTGCCTCTTAAGGGTTTCTACTGCCTTCAAAACTCATGTTTCTAATTTTCTTCAGTTCTAATGAAAAGTCAATTACCTGAAATGTTAACTTGCTTTCTCCCTACAGATGCTGCCTGATCTGGTGAGCTTTTCCAGTAATTTTATGATTTCAGATATTGATTTGTGAAAATTTTAAAATTGCAAAACCTTTGAATTTATTAGCACTGAACCAACAAAACTCCATCAATGCAGAACAGAATTAATAAAAACATAGGTTGCCTCCAATTGCTGTAATAACACCGCTCTGTTCTAATACCTAACTTTATGTACTGCGATACCCTCACCAATGCTTTTGAACTCGTACTGATCTTTCCCTGGCCACCCACTCACCTTGTAGATTCCATAAATCAGAACTCCTCCAAAACTACTGCCCAAATACTAACATTCAAGTTCAGCATCCCCACTGTGCTTTATGGTCCACGTTGTCTTCATGTCTCATAACACCTTGATTTTATAATTTTGCTAATGTTGCTTTCAAAACATTCAATAACACCTCCCTACATTTGTCACCTCCTCTCGTTCTACAGCTTTCCGAGGTCTGTGTGTTATTGTAATTTCAGACTCTTGAGCATCAGTAGTTTGCATTACTCGGTCATTGATTGCCAGCTTTCAGCTGTCAAGGCCATAGATCCTGGAATACCCTCTTTAAACTCAAAAACAGAAGTTGCTGGAAAAGCTCAGCAGCATCTGTGAAGAAAAATCAGATGATGTTTTGGGACTGGTGACTCTTTCAGAACTTTAAGCTTCTGCCTTTCATCACTTCCATTAAGCTTTTGGTTACCTGTCCCAATATCTCCTTTGGGTCTCAGCGACATCATTACACTGCTCCCTTCCCTCTTTTTCATTCATAATAAAGCTGCTGGCAGCAGAGTAGACGGCGTCAGGAGTTCTCAGCCTGGTCCTCGCTGATCTGCTTTCTCTTTTTTTTTTTCTTTCTTTTCTCATTCTCCCTCTTTTTTTAAAAAAGATTTTAAGTTTCTTTTAAAAAAGAAACCTTAACCTACCTTGGAAAAGCTGAGGGCACAGGGGGACAGCCAGCATGCCTAGAGCAGAACAGGGATGGTTGTTGGACTGGGGACTGGTCTGGGCGATCAGTGGCTTGCAAGCCCTGTCAGACCCCGTGTGGACCCCCCATACCATCCCAACCTCCCACCCCCCGCCCCGCCCCACCCACCCCAACCAACCTTGCTGTGCTGCAATGTAATGTTTACCTGTAATCTGTTTATCTGACTGTAATGTTTATCCTTTAACTTTATTTCTTATTTTTCTAACTTATGCTATGATTCACTAAGGTAATGTATCACTTTTTTCTTTATTTCTCCATTTTTGTATCTAATATTTGCACCTAGATACTAAGATGGCACCATGTGGGGTACTTGGATACACATGACAATAAGCATAATATAATTCAGTCATAAATTATGATCATTAACTTGCAATAAGATCACTTTCTGCAAGTTTGAAGAGATTTGAAGGTAGGAAATAACCCTCAACACCCCCAAATTCTCACCCTATCCTTCCTTTTAATAGGATTTTGTTTTACCATGTCATTTGAAAATCTTTAAATGTTATGTGTAAATAGTTTGGCTTACTCTATTTTATCATCTTTTGCATAAATACTTTTGTTTTATTAAAAATGAACATTTTTCAACAATTAAGTATTTTACACAAAAAAGACAAAATATGATCTATCAAGCTAAATTTCAGTCTGGGGGCTCTTGGTAGGATTAGAATTCATTGGATTTAAGAGGATTCCTATGCCTTTCCTCATAACTCAATGATTGGGGTTTATTGCACATAAGTTTAAGATGTCTTTGGATGTTTAGAGTTCTCTGGACATGAGGGATACAACAGTGGTTATTTGAAAATCTTTGGCTAAAGCCAAACTCGGAGTTCGCAGATAAATTGAAATTAGAACAAAAAGCAGGATCTCATGAGAATAACATGCTTCAAGTAATTATCCGAAAGAATTGAAAGAAAGAAAACTTGAGTTTCACAGCTGGCGTTAACTAAAATAAAGTTTAAAAATGAGAAAAAACTGGACTTAGTACAAGAAAGAAAATTTAAAAATGTGAATTGAAGAGAGATACAAGCAGAGGGATATGGAATTTAAAAAGAACTTGAACTCCAAAGAGATACTGGACCAGCTTTGAGCAAAGAAGAATAGAAGAGGTACTCACAGACAGAAGCACACTAAAGGAGAAAGTATAGAACCAAAAAGTGATATCAAGTAAATTACATGCTTTCATTGAAATGATATACCAAAGCCAATTGCTGACAGTTAAATGGGAGACCAATTGCACTTGTAAGAATATCTAAGGACTCATCAGGAAAGGAAGTAGATATTAAAACTGTAGCAATAATAAAAAGTGAATATGTTTCCTTAGAATTTGCTGAGAAGGGAAAGACAGAACATATGGAAATCCTAATATTGACAAGGATTTCTCCAGCAGATCTGGCAGCATCCAGGGATAGAGAAACAGTTAACATTTGAGTCTGATATATCATTTCTTCAGAACTGAAAGGGGCTCGGAAATGATAGTACTAATGCTGTTGACAGAGCAGGAGGAGCAAGTTGAACAGATGGTCAGAGCACAAAGACAAGAAGAGTGCTAATGGTGGTAAAGTAGAGGTAGAGATGCAGGAAAATTATTCCTAATGACCAGGGAGTCCAGAACCAGGAGTCACAGTCTAATGGTATGGGGTGGGTCACTTACGACTGTGATAAGAAATTTCTTCGCCGAGAGTGGTGAGCCTGTGGCATTCTATGCCACAGAAAACAGTTGGGGCCAAAACATTGAATGTTTTTGAGAAGGAGTTAGATAAAGATCTTGGGGCTAAAGGGAACAAATTCTATGAAGAGAAAGCAGGAACAGGTTACTGAGTTGAACAAGCCATGATCATATTGAATAGTGGAACAGGCTGTAAGGGATGGTGGCTTACTCCTTCTATTTTCAATGCTTCTATGTAAAATAGCTCTGAATGCTAAGTCTGAAAAGGAGAATATGGATCTATTCTGCAATTAGGCAGGTAGGGGATAGTGGATTGTCATCAAAATGGAAGACAGAGGTCATACTCAGAAATTGTTAAAGTCAATGTTGAGTCCTGAAGGCTGTAAAATGTCTACGCAGAAAATATAGTGCTGTTCCTCCAACTTGTGTTGAACTTCATTGTAATATTGCAGCAAGCCCAGGACAGAAATGCTTGCATGCGAGCAAGCTGGTTTATTGAAATGGCAAACAACTGATGCATCAGGGTCATTCTGACAGAATGGAGATGTTCCACAAAGCAGTCACCCAGTCTGCATTTGGTCTTGCCAATGTAAAGCAGACAGCATTGTAAGCAGTAAATACTGTAGACTAGATTGAAAGAAGTAGAAGTAAATGTGTTTGTGGCCTTGGACAGTGAGGAGTAAGGAGGTAAAAGGACAAGTGTTATACCTTTGTGACTGTATGGGATGGGAGATGTGAGGAAGCACTAGTAATGCTGGCTAGATTGACCAGGTTGTCATCGAGGGAACAGTCCCTACAGAATGCTGACAGTGGAGAGAAGGGTGCTGGCATATGTTTGGTGGTACCATGCTGATGGAGGGGGCAGATATGAAAGCACATGATTCTTTGAATGCAGACAGAAAGTGAAGACAAAGGGAATCCTAGCATTCTGGGAAAGAGGGTGATTAATACAGTTGAGTGCCCTGTCAACCATAGTGGGGAAATTTTCATTTAAGGAAAAAGGAAACATATCAGAGGCACTCTGGTGGAAGGTGGCATAATTGAAATAGAGGTGATGAACACAGGGAAACTGGGAGAATGGAATGGTTTCCTAGCAAGAGGAAAGGTGTGACGAAGCGCAGTTAAGGTAACTGATAGAGTTGCTGGGTCAATGGTGGATATTGGGAGACAGCATATCTCCAGAAATGGGAACAGTGAAACCAAGTAAGGGAAGAGTCTGAACTGGATCAATTGAAGGTGACAAAAGAATGGCAATTTCAAAATTATTAAATTTTTTTAATTCAGGTGACAGTAGGAAGCAGCAACAATGGCATTGATGACAGCGTGAGGATTGGAACAATGAATGTTCCACATACCCAACGAGGAGACCAGTATAACCATGACCAAGGAGGTATTCATGGCCTGTCAACACACCACTCTCACCATTTGAATGATCTTTTGGTCTCTCTGCGCGTTGCTGTCTCTGGCTATAAATTCTGTGCCTGTGTGCTTCTCTCTCACTTCACCTGATGAAGGGGCAATGCTTTGAAAGCTTGTGACTTCAAATAAACCTATTGGACTATAACCTGGTGTCTTCGGACTTCTGTCCTTGTCCACCCTAGTCTAATACCACCACCTCCACATCGAGGAAGTCATCAGTAATTTATCCATTTGATCAGAATCAAACAACAGAAATCTCTTCTGGAGGACAAAACTTAAAGCCTACATTCTTTGGTCAATACACATTAGGATTCCTACAGTCCTATGTGCTGCAAGATGAATCTTCTTGGCAGTTTAATGAGGATAGCCGAGCCATCTGCTTACTGTATAAGGTTGACACTGAGATAGGGATATCAAAACTATCCTGTGTGATGGTGAATACCCTGATCAAAATTCCTGTACCAGCTGAGGTTACCGTGAAGGACTATCCTTCTCCCTTTGCTTAAGGAATGGTGACTCTCAGGTTAAACCACCACCAGTTCTCTCTCTAATGAGAGAGCAGCTCTGTGGTTTCTTGTAAGACTATGGTGACGTTACCTTTATCTTACACTCATTACATCATCACTCACTGAATATTGTGAAAATTCATGAAAGGGCCTACGTCTACCATCTTTGGTGCCTACCACCTGAGCGGTGCCCAGTCTACCTCAAGGAATTGAATAGGTGAAGCCAGCTGTCTCTCACTGCTATTATGCAGTAAAACCACAAATGGCTTTCTCCCATAATGTAACAGTCAAGCCAAAAAGACAAAGTACCTCCCACATAAATGAGTAATGTGATACTAGTTTCATTGCCAATGTTGTGCCAGCTATGTAGGCGATGCATCAGAATGAAAACATAACCCTTTGACCATTCGCCGTGTGCAACATGCCAATAAATCTATGCTTGCAAGACTCAGAAAAGTATATCCACCATGAGGTGTGATTCTGCTATTCTACCCTATCTTTTCCCATTAATAATATCTTGAAGACTTCAATCAGAGAACCCCTCAAACTTTTAAATTGTAGAGAAAACAGGCCCAATAAAAGGTATAATCTCTCCCTATACTTTAACCCTGAAGTCCAGGTATCATTTTTTTTGTAAGGCTATATTGGACTCCCTCCAAGCCATTATTATCCCTCCTAAGCTGTGGTGCCCAGATCTGTTCACAATACTCCAAGTGGGGTTTAAATAGCATTTTGCATAACTGCAGCATATATTCTGCATCCTTAAACTCCATTCCTCTAGACATAAAGGCCAGTATTCAATTAGCATTCCTGACTATTTTCTACACCTGTTTGTAATGATCTATGCAACTGAACCTTCAAGTCTCTTTGGACATCCACAGTATTTAACTTCATACCATCCAAAAGCATCCTGATCAATCCTTTCTTGGTGGAGGGAGTGGATGCTTGTGGATGTCATGCCAATCAAGTGGGTTGCTTTGTCGTAGATGATGTGTGAATAATGCAGAGTTCAAAAAACATTAACAAATGCCCTGAGATACTATTTATTTGCAATGTAATTTAGCTTATTCAATCACTGAAAATCAGTGATCCAAATGTGACCTTCTACACAAGACAGACATTCCTTTGTTATAATGCAGCAACGGCTCCAGATCATCATGAACAGAAAGCTGCTGGTAAAATTTTTTTTTTAATCTGCAAATTGTGAAACCTGATGCAAAAAAAATGCAAACACAAAAATCAATATCTGAAGAAAAATACTGCATTAATATTTGTGGGCAGCATTTTGGAAGTAATCTTTATGCTAATTTATGTTAGTTAGTTTCAGCATCCCTGGACAAAAGAGAGTCAAACAATTCAATAAAGTTTGTACTTCTCTTCACTATCTAGTTTTCTTGGTTAGAATATAAGTAGATGATTGCTAGGTGAAAATAGGGTCAAGCTCAATTGTGACATAGTTCAAAGATGAACAGTGAACTGACATGGGAGCTGGATTTTCCTCATTGGTGATATGACAGTCAGTGGCTGTTTTTAGCACTAGTATGGTGTGAGAAGACCTTTACTAATATCTACCTTTCAGAAATTAGTTAGGCAAGAAATATTAAGCATTTCACAGATCTGCCTTGTCCAAATACCAGTCATGCATGTCTGTATTTTTTGGTTAAATATATATTGATTCATGGGATATGGACTTTGCTGGCTAGGTCAGCATTTATTGCTCATCCCTAATTGCTCTGTAAGAAGTTTAGGAGTAACGCCCAGGTTCCACAAGCGAATAAAAAAAATCGCTGGCACTGAATTGCCTTCTTGAACTGCTGTAGTTCATTTGTAGATACACCACAATGCCTTTAGAGGGTGAGCTTTAAGAGTTTGACCAATCTTTTGACACTGAAGAAACAGTGACATATTTTCAAGTCAGGATGGTGAGTCGTTTGGTGGGTATCTACAGGTGGTGGTGTTCCTATGTATCTGCTGCCCTTGCACTTCTAGATGGTGGTGGTCATAGATTTGTCTAAAGGATCTTTGGTGAATTCCTGTGATGTATCTGGTAGACGATACACAATGTTACGGAGTGTCAGTGGAGAAGGAGTGAATGTTGGATTAATATACTGAATACCAGATAATCAGTTAATAAATTGTGTATATATTTTGACACATACCTTTTTATTTAAAAATGTAAAAAAAAATTTCACAATTACATCAAGATAATAAAGACTTTGCTTCTCGTCGTCCAGTCCTATTGACCTCTTCCTCATATTGAGCCAAAATTGCAGAGGTTCGTTCTTCAGTCATCAATGTTTCAGTGTCAGAAAGCCAAACATCAGTTGATGGTGTACTTGAAGCAATACTGTTAGGGAAAATGTTCATGCTGATCATTGGATTATGATCTGGACAGTGGTTTAGGTTATGTTCTTGTTGCTTTCCAGTTATTTTCCATTCTTGAGGAACGTCTTCAAAGTCCCACTGTGAAAAGGAAACACAGCCATTTTCAAGATCTTTTACTTATTAAGATGTTTCTGTAATTTATTTGATATTATCAGAAAATATTCTATATGCCCCCTTAAAAATGAAAGCAACGGTCACCTTTTATAGATAAATAGTTCAAGTGTTTGAGGGTTAAGGTGCTAATGCCCTTGCCACTTAAAGGGGCAAATTTAAACAACCAACAAAAGGCAGGTTTGAGTTGGACGGACAGTAATGTGGAAATCTGCATGCAAACTGAACATTCCTGGTTTTAGCCGAGGCTGTGAATGAATGATTGAACAATCAGCTTCAAGTAGGCTGGTCAGTGCCTTTAACATGATGATAATGAGGCTGAGACTCAGTGTTAATCCACTTTTCAACTCTAACTCTGGTCATTTGGGTTTCTCAAAGTTCCACAGCCTCAAACTGCACATCTTTTCAGATTCATCTCCCTCCCAAATTCTGACTTCACCTTAACTCCATCCTACAACCTGATCCTTAAAATTGGCACACTGGTAAGACACCACAGCATTTAGGGGAGTCTTGATTTCCAGATCTTCCTACTTAATCCCAATTGTATTGCCGCACCCCTCACTCGTCTTGGCAGTTTAAGTGAGTAAATCCAGCTCAAAAAAATACTAGATTTAAAATGGACTGTTGCATATAAAATTAGTCAATGAGCAATGCTAATTATTCAATTACACAAAGGTCAGTTTCAAAGTTTTCTGATTGCAGTGTCTGGAATAATCTGTTTATTTCGTACAGAAGCAGCTGAATGCACTCACTAGTTGTTCAATCAGACAGTAATCAGCCCCTAGCCACTATCACTGTGCTAAATTAAACCATAATGGGAGTGAAAGACATTTAGTGATTGAAAAGATGAATGCAACAATTCAGAGTTAATGCAGTGAAGTTACATATACAGGCACAATTTGATACTGATATTATTGATTTTCAACATGAAACAACATTTATTCCAAGGTTTCAACCATTCTATGAGATTGCTGATGGACATGATACAAGACGTGGACAGCCAAATAACTGTATGCTAACAAAGTCAAAACATTGATTCAATTAATTTCAAGTTTTGTTCAACCAACTACTCTAGCCAAGAGTTAGCTGTATCAATGATCTGAATTAATTAGATTTTTTTTTCTCAAATAAACCTTTGAGGCAGTCTAGTCTGATGTTGCATTCATGTGGAACAATTTTTTAAAAATACAAATGTACAAGTCCTTAGCAATCAATCAAATCTGTGTTCAAATTGTGAAGCCATAACATGTAAATGATGGCCAGAAGCATCAAGTCAAATTTAAAGTCGTGATTGATGTTACAGTTGGCTCAAATTCTGCCATTATCACGTGACACAGGTACAAGCCAGTTAGCTAGAAGCAAGAGGGAATGTAATATTACTCAGGACAATGTTTGGAGTGAATGCATTTCTGTAAAAAGAGCATAACTAAGGAAGTTGTCAGAATCCAGTGCTTATTCCATTTGTTTATATAAAAGATTTAAATTGCAAAAGACTGGATGGAATATAATACAAATCATATGTGGGTCTCTAAGCAGAAAGTCCAAGACTTGGCAGGCAATCTTTAGGGAACAAAGTTTCCAGGAGTTCCATTTGTTCATTTTGACCAGTTGGGAATTTTGAGACTTTTCCACATTCGTGGGGCTGACCTGAATCTACTAATTTGATTTTTCACAAAGATGCATATACATGTCCAAGCAGTTGTCATACAAAACATTTTCAAACTTAGTGGCGTTTGTTAATGATGCTACATTAATATTTGTATAGATTAAAAATAAAGTTAGAATAAAGTCTTTGAATATATAGAGCACTATATTTTTAATAGTACACATATGAATTTAACTAATGACATACAATTGAAATAAATGATTCAAGTAGGACAATCATTCAACAGAAAATTTCAACAAAACTATTTTAATTGAAATATTAATGAGGTTTTTAAGTTGCTGTTGTTTAAAGATCCATTCCTGACCTTATATTTTCTACCTACTAACATTATTTTGAGCTAAATACAATGGTAATGAAGATTATGAAAAATAATTTTGTCCCTATATGTAAATTGAGAAGTTATAGAAATAGACAAAACAGCATTAGAATGAAAGTTTAAAGTCTGTATTTTGTTTCATATATTACATTTATGTCCACACATCTATTTGAAAAACATATTTAGATCATGTAGTTGTTGAGGCTACTGATTAGATTTGTCTGCAACTTCAAGCATGTGACTACTGGTGAATTCAAAATAGTATCTCCTCTTTCTGGGCTGTATCAATTATATACACAAATCAAACTGATAATACAGGACATTTAAAATGTCACATCACATCAAGTTTTAAAAGTATCTTGAAACACCTCGCTTTTTAACAAATCAACATTATTCAGAAATTAATTAACTTCATTTAAAATCAAAGAGATATAAAATGATGTGGATGAACAATGCCCACCCACCCCTTGTTGGGTTAATATCAAATAAAGTAGCATCGGTCCATACCTGTTCTGAGTTTAAGGCTTCCAAGTACTTTTGCTGCAGGGTAAAAACACAGATCAACAGAACTAAACAACTATGTTCAACAATTTAGTCCAGAATCAGAGTCTCTTATTGTGACACCAATTCCATCAAATTATCAAAAATATATAATATCAGTGCAGTTACTTCAAACATAAACAAAGAAAGCAGCTAAAGCCCAGTTTATGCATCAACTCTGGAAAACAAAATGAGTCTTCACTCTGATAATTTGAATCAAATATTTTCAGTTTGAACCTAGGAAAACCTGTTCAAACAGATGCCTATACGTCATGCAGATAATCGGGTAACTTTCCTATAATTAGGCCAATATTACTCAGAGCAGAATGCTGCTCGTCAAATGTGCATGTTGAGACTAAGTGCAAAAGGTAGTGGATTATACAGCAGAAAACATGGTTCAATTCCTGATATGCATTCCTGCTTATATTGAGCTTTGAAGCAACAGCATACAACAGTAGTTTGAGGTATTTAAAAATGAACTACTTGCCTTTAATTAATAACTTTCACCTCCCCAGAACATCTCCAAGTACTGAAAGCAATGGGTTATTTACAATCTACAGAAACCCATTTTGTAGGGAAGCTCCAAACTTATTCAAGCTAATTGAAGTAAATAACTGAGCGTTTATCATGATTCTACTGCAAGTTTAAATATGCTTTTATAGCTGTATCAACAATGAAAGCACAAATGATGGTATAGAAAATCCTGTTTTCTTTCACTATTACACACAAATTTGCATAATATTTGCAAATGAGTAGAAATTGCTTTTCCTATTGACTTTCTCAAGTGTTTTATCAGGTTCTGAACATGGAATGTTGGAAGTATTTAAAATCTTATTTGCACATGAAGTTCAATAATTCCTTGCCTCCAGAAAAATGCCAATCTGTATAACACCATTGCAGACTCTTAAAACAACACTTGTAAAAAAAACTTGGAGCATGTTGGAAAGGCAATTCAGATTTAACTGCTTCATAGAGAGAGAAGCAGGGACTAGAACTAGACAACAGTTTAAAAATAAGAGGTCTCCCATTCAAGGTAAAAATAGGGAGAAATTATTTCTCAGAGGGTCACGAATCCTTGGGGCTCTTTCCTAGTGATAGAGGCAGGGAGCATTGAGTACCTAAAAGCAAAAGTAGATAGGTTGTCGACAAACAATGGAGTCAAAGGTTATCGGGAGTAGATGAGAATGTAGAATTGATGTCACAATTGAATTAATTAATTAAATACAGAATAAAATATTCGCCCTGCTTTCTTATTGCCAACTTACTTAACAGAATCACAGATCTATTACAGTGCAGGAAGCTGTTTTGCCCATCAGGTATGTACTGAAGCTCCAAATGAGCATTATGTCTTATTGCCATTTTCCTACTCCTTCTCATAACCTTGCACGTCATTGTATTAAATTATTATTTAAATAGCACTCTTGAATGCCTTGAATTGATTGAATGTGCTTTCATCATACTCTGGTGCATTCCACACCTAAAACACTCACTGTGTAAATGCTTCTGAACATTTTAAAACCTATGTTTCTTTGCAGCCTGTGTACTCCTCACAGCCTACATGCCACCTCACACTGGATCAGCAGCAAACTTGGATATATGACCCTCAGTTCTTCATCTGAGTCATGTAAATAGCTGAAGCCCCAGCAATGATCCTTGCAGTATTTAGTTACAGCCTGCCAACTTGAGAATGCCACTTTTTTCTGGAAGTTTTATCCATGCAGCTATTGATGACATCTTTGACACTGGCATCAGGGAGATAAGATGCCATCCAGGAACTATCCAGCTGCAGATACACCCAACTGTTGGATTTTCTACCTCTTTAGCTTTTCTGACCTTCCTTTTCTCCTACAATACTCTCACTGCTATCAGCCATCACTAATGGTGCCATTTAGCTGGCTGTTCTACCCAGATCTTTCTCAAGCAGAACTAGATAGAGGGTCCACTTAGCAGAAATTTCAGATGAGTACGCTTGCTGGATAATTTTGGCTCACTGATGGAAGATGAGTGACAGAGCCAATTATCCTAAGGGCTGAGAGCCACTCGAGTGAAGTCAAAGTGAATCAATGCAGCCTTCGAGTTCATACCAACCTGCTGATCACCAGGAGTCCTGGACTGGCTTCAGCATCATTCTTTGAATGCCTTGACACTGGGCTTTTGTCCTCACTTGCTCCATGGTTTTACATGCAGCAGTGCACGTATAAGCCGTCTCTGGGCTTGTTCTTCAGTTCAAAACAGCTGCTGGCCCCAGAATGCGGCTAACCCAATCAAGAGGCCAAAGAAAAGGGGAAACCTCTGTGTCAATGGCTGAGAGCAAGGCAGCTACCTTCCCTGTCTGCAGCCTCCTCATTTAAAAATATACTTACCCCAGCTGCTGTTTGGAGGCAGCCTGCATTTAGCCAATAGGTGGCAATAAAGTACTTTAGAGGGCCTTTCTATATTGAGGGTGGTGTTTCACCTCCTTCTGATGATGTCTTTCTGAAGGCCTTCCCATCATCTTTAAAATGCCCCAACAACAAGATGTGGTCCATCATGGTTTCCTGCAATTTTAATGGTTGGTGCTTGATAGCAACATTGGTCCTTGATGGCTACATTGATACAAGTTAATAGGCCCCTGGACCTGAAGGAATCAATCGATGGCAGCAAACTCTGGATCTGTTCTGGCCATCTAATTCAAAATGGTTTTACGTTCTCTGCCGCCTAGAATGACCTTACGACTAGTTACATTCAAACACAGGAGTAGGCCATTCGGCCGTTCAAGCCTGATCTGCTATATGTTGTGATCACGGCTGCTCATCCGACTCAAAATGCCTGTTCCTGTTTCTCCCCTAAATCCTGTGGTCCCTTTAGCCCCAAAGAGCTATATCGAACTCCTTTCTTAAATCATACAGTGCTTCAGCAGCAACAGCTGATGCCTTCAATGACACAAATGCATAAATCCTCAATGCCTTAGTGACCTTGATGGCAGATTGCCACAGGAGCAATTAGGCATTGTGAATCAAGCCAGAAACCAACTAGATGGATGATTGCAGTCTTCTATGGCACTGGCACTTTGACTCTTAAGCAGTGAACAGGGAATGATTGGAGAGCACTCTCTTTCTCTTACAGTCCCTGGTAGAACTTCTTCTGGACCAAGAAGATGCATCTACTGATGCTCCTCTTCACTATTCCCTTCAATGTTGGTTTAGGCTGCTTCCGTCACAACAGGTTCACATTGATATACTGGAACTTCCTCTACCCACATCAATTGTCCAAGTGATATTAACAGTTTCATGTTTTCCTCAAGAGTTCAGTCACTCCTTACAAAGACAAGCCTCTCAGCATCAATGGTAACTGTGCCGCTGTATGAGCTTCTGAGCTTTATCTCGATTTTATTCAACTTTTGCACACTGCAGTTACTGGTTCCCCAATAAGTTCCCAAACATTATGCCCCAGTAAGTCGTTAACCTCATGTTTTCCTTGTGTTTCTCAACTGAAAGTTTCAAGCTTTTGTTCCCCAGATTCCTAATGGGCTCTATGATGTGTTAAACAAGCTATTAATTGGAGACATCCAGATTGCCAGCTCCTCATTCTTTTTGAAAATTGCACTGTTTCTCAAAGGATCAGAAGCAACTAACTCCAATCACATGACTTTCCAGGCCAACCCACCTATGAATCACCCCCCATGTGAGACTGAAAATTCAGCCTACACATCAGCTAAAGTCACTCGTAGCACCTTAAAAAAGCCACTACGCATCTGAAATTAAACATATACATGAAGGTGGGAAAAACCATGCACAGCCTTTTCTGCTATGTGATAAAATGCAAGTTGACTGTTCTTTCTTTCCATTCATTAAATTGTGCTAAAAACGTAAGATAGTTAGTTATAATTTATTTTTAGCCTTCATCAGCAAAAGCAGCAGAATTTTACTGTCAAAATAAAATAACATTATATAAAGTTGACACCGACAGAGATTGGTCTCGTTCACAGCTGATTTCATCCAAATCGCACAAATAATTCTTAAGGTGATGTAGCTGAACTATTAAAAAATTAAATACCTGTGAATTACAGATGTAACACTTTTAAAAATCTATCACCATATCAAATTTAGGAAATGGGAATAAAATAAAAATTCCTACAGACATTTTTCAAATTATACATGGGTTTGAGTCAATTTGTATTTGGGAGAATGTTATTTTATTTTAGTTGAAAAAAATCAACAAGTCTTGTTACAGGAGCATGGGGAAATACAAAGTTAAGTTTATTGAAGATAAAATTTAAAAATCCACAGCTCAAAATTAAATATGAAATGCCAATATTCTTCAAAGTTATTATCATGTAGTTTTAAAAGAAAGATAGGCATCTTCGTTGGTTAGGTTTTCACATCGACGCAAAGGTTTATAACAACATATACCTAAAGCCACATAATACAAATCATAATTGACCATCATTTTCAATATCTCCAAAAATCTGGAAAGCTGTTACTTCAGTTGAAAATGTAAAAAGAAATGAGTCTCTGAAGAGTCACTGGACTAGAAATATTAACTGTTACTCTCTCCATAGATGCTGCCAGAGCTGCTGATTTTCTCCAGCACTTTGTTTTTATTTCAGATTCCTAGCATCAGCAGTATTTTACTTTATTATTTTAAAAATATACAATAATGCCTTCCACACATCCTACTGTGAAACCTCAGCACTAAGCAGCATCTAGATACAGATAAGGTGTCCAACTGAACCATGGCTGTGGAAAATCTCATGTACAAAAAAGGTACTCCCATCAATAGGTTAATGGTGATGATCAAGTAGAATTTGTTTCTCTTGTGGCCTTAACACAGAATGCACATTCAACTTACCTCCAGTTCAGAGTTTATGGAAGTAACATCTGACGAGCTACACGAGGATACATTTGCGTGAATAACTTGTTTTGGAGGGTACATTGGGGGATCATGGACTAACTGGACATCCACTCTTTTTCCTCTCTCTGTACAAGTCTGTCCATCTCCAGGTAATCTCTTAACACCAAATCCAATCTATAATTACAAACAGGTACAGGATACACAGCTGAAGACTGAAATTGTGAAGTTGAGTATCAGAATGAAAACAACTCGTCCACATTCACCTAGAAATTCTTGCAAGCTTCTTGAACAATTTAAAGGCTGCCAATAGTATTACTTAACAATCCAATAGAGATACGCTTTAAACACTCTTAGACAATTTAAATTCAACTAAATAAATTTCAAAAACGACAGTTTAATAGCAGACATTGTTTATTTTAATATTTTGCACTCCAATTGCATTGAAACCAGCTACAAGTTTAATATTAATGATCAGCCATTAGCAAAATCATTTAAGGAAGTTAAGAGTGATTTCTGACAAAGCAATACAAAATAGTTCCCAGTAAAACAATGTTATTGGGATTGAGATAATTCCCCAAACAATTACAAACATGGAAAGTTATAAAGGCACATATTTATATCACACAGATATAAAGGCTTGCTTTCTAACAATATCTTCAAATGAACTCTGCACTAAATACTTAAGTTTAAACAATCCAGCCATATAATCACAAAATCCCTACAGTGTGGAAACAGGCTCTTCAGCCCAACAAGTCCATGCCGACCCTCAGAGCATCCCAACCAGACCCATCCCCTTATAACCCACCTAAGCTACATATCCCTGTACACTACAGGCAATTTAGCATAGCCAATTCACCCAACCTGCACATCTTTGGACTGTGGAAAAAAACTGGAGGAAACCCATGCAGACACAGGGAGAATGTTCAAACTCCACACAGACAGTTGTCCAAGGGTAGAATTGAATCCAGGTCCCTAGCGCTGTGAGGCAGCAGTGCTAACCACTGAGCCACCCCATCACCCCAAATATATAAGGTGAAAACCTAGAAGTGTCTAAACTTCTGCTTCAAATTTTCCTTGCCCAGGTGCTTAGCAGCAATCTTTTATCCAAGTGAATTTCCAGCTACACTAAAGATTACTATAAATGACAAATTAATTATACACACGACATATTTTAAATGCTTGAGATGCTGTGTTTCCTTTAGTCTGGGCTGCCTGGAGGATAAGGCAATGTACGTGCTACAGGAATGGAACAATCAACAATCTCATTCGCTCCCTCACACCTGTTGGATGCAGAAACAGATACAAATGAAACCTCTTGAACAGGTCACCTTGCTATCCGGACCCTAAGTAAGGGGATTACTGCAAACAAGTGGTTAAGACCAAACACAATACTCAGGTAAATCAGTGTTACAGGATGGAGGCATAATTGGACCCAGATTACCCAATAGTGCAGATCAAATGTAAAGATGCAAATTGACCACAAAGGAAAGCACAGTAAATACTCTGTCTCAGGTCAAGCCCTAAATAAACTCATTTCTCTTTCCATCAAGAACATGGTCATCTCAAAAGAAATTTCCGGTGTGGTTACGTTATTGATCATGATCCTATGAACTGAAATGCAGAAAATTACATTTATTTCCTACTCATACACTGATTAAATTTGCAGAGAATGCAGGCATTTAATTACCAAATGTTTTACATATTAGCTTTGTAATTTAATTGATAGGTTCCTTTCACAATTTACAGAAAGTAATATTCACCAACAAAACAGGGGTATCTTGATATCAAAACGTTGTGTGCATTGAGCAGATTTATTCTACACCCTCAAAGTTAACTATATTTCAAGATTTACATTCAATTGCCATTTTTGAAGATTATTCAAGATCAGAAATAAATACACCATCTGTACAAAAAAAATCAAAGTAATAAACAATGTAAACAGGACAAGAATAAATGATTGGCCCAGATTTTCCTGCAGCAGCAAGATCAACATTTTAAGACTATTCATTTGACCAGGTTTTGCATCGTTACTCATTTCCACAAGCATTTCCTGCCTTTGTAACCACAGGGAATACTCATGCACAGTTTAGCGATTTCTCCTCAATGATTTCAAAAATACATTAACTGGAAATCTGGTATTCATCCAAGGTGCTACCCTCAGCAGGCCCATCTCTTCTCAGTGGCTTGCTTGAGCCAAATGTTTAATCATGAGTAGTTCTTTAAAAAAAAATCATTGCATTATGATAGACATTGTTGTCAGACCACAGTGCCTGGATTTTTAAACCTAAGAGACAGTAGCAAGAAAGATGGCAAGATCTTAGCAGAATCATTCTCGTAACTTTTGCCAGGTGTGGAGGGAGTTTGGAAAATTAGTTTCCAATTATTTTCGATGTGGAATAACTGCCAATCCATACAAAAGTCAGGAAAATATGGTTTAGATATGTGCTTATAAAATGCACTCTTTTAAGCTGTTCAGGGTTCCCAATTTCATAGATCTGCTATTACAATGACTTACATATCCTGGAAAATCTAGGTCAATGTAGTTACAGGAACATTACAACTTGGATTGGCCGAATCCTTTCAGTAAATTAAGCAATGTTTACATTTTGGTGCTAGTTATAGCTTTACCTCTTGTACTGGTTCAATGCTCAAATCCATATAGTGGCCTATTTCTGCCATTTTGCGCAAATATCTGTTATTCTGAGGTATGTTCAGTGGCATCCAGTTTGAACTCTAAAGGGGATAATTAATATATCTATTTAAACTCAACTGTAACCAATCACCTACGTGAAATAAAACCATTAAACAAGTTAAATCATGCTGAGAAAACTATTTACACTAATGAAGCCCAAACATGAGAAAGAAATGGTGATTTACTTCGAAGACAACGTCAGAAGTCACATGACAAAGTCAGAATGCTTCGAAAGCTTGTGATTTCAAATAAACCTGTTGGACTACAACCTGGTGTTCTGTGGCTTCTGACTTTGTCCACCCCATTCCAACGCCAGCACCTCCAAATCATGGCTACTTCTAAGACAAGATGGTACAGGCCTTTAAAGGGAACTTGGAAGTGGTAGTCAGCAGTCATGAGTTCCATCAACAGGTTTGAAATATTACTACATGTGAAAACTGATGTGAAAGAGGCAATTAATTCTCAAATAATCTAGTGTTAGTATGTAAAAAACAGAATAATTTACAAGAAAAACTGTTTAATGTATAAAAGCAAGTCTTGTATTTCAATCACAAAGAAAAACAGAACAAAAGAAAGAACAAAGAAAATTTCAGCACAGGAACAGGCCCTTCGGCCCTCCAAGCCTGCGCTGATCCAGATCCTCTATCTAAACCTGTCGCCTATTTTCCAAGGATCTGTATCCCTCTGCTCCCTGCCCATTCATGTATCTGTCTAGATACATCTTAAATGACACTATCGTGCCTGCCTGTACCACTTCTGCTGGCAATACGTTCCAGGCACCCACCACCCTCTGCGTAAAGAACTTTCCACGCATATCTCCCTTAAACTTTTCCCCTCTCACCTGGAAATTGTGACCCCTAGTAATCGAGTCCCCCACTCTGGGAAAAAGCTTCTTGCTATCCATCCTGTCTATACCTCTCATGATTTTGTAGACCTCAATCAGGTCCCCCCTCAAAAAGCTCAGCAAACCTGACAGCATCTGTGAAGAAAAATCAGAGTTAATGTTTTGGGTCCAGTGACCCTTTCTTAGAACTGTTCAGGGGGTTGTCAGACCCAAAATGTTAACTCTGATTTTTCTTCACAGATGCTGCCAGCCCTGCTGAGTTTTTGCAGCAACTTCTGTTTTTGTTTCTGATTTACAGCATCTGCAGTTCTTTTGGGTTTTATCTTGTTTTTCTATAGTGCCTTAACAGTATATTTTATGAATAACTGCCCTAAACAATGGGGAGGGACTTTATGGTATTGACTTTGTAGTACCTGTGTTTCTTCTTGAATCTCCTCTTCTTCCACATCTTGTTCAGGAGATTCCAACAAAGAAAGAGTATCGGATTCTATTACCACCTCCAAACCCCACTGCTGGCGATTAGCTTTATGTTTTAGTAAACATGATAAGAACAGTATCTGGTTGAACATTGTTAAAAAAGTAACATATGAATTAGTTGTCCAAGTAGCTTTACCAGTAATTATTCACAAATTTTCAGAAGCCTTGTGCCTTAATAGGTAGAACTCCTGTCTCTGAACTACAAGCTTCAGGTTCAAGACTTAGTCCAGTGCTTATTGGCCATAGGAGGAATGATAATAATATGACCAAACAGGTAATTAACCTGTTAATCCAACCAACGTGTCTAAGGTAACAGTAAGAGGAGAGATACCTAATGAGCCATGTTTGAAGCAGTGTTGTACCTCTCAAACTATCACAGATCATAGCCATCCCTACAGTGTGGAAACAGGCCCTCTGGCCCAACAAGTCCACACCGACCCTCAAAGCATCCCACCCACATCCATCCCCTAATAATCCACCCAATCTACACATCCCTGAACACTGGCCAATCCACCTTGCCTGGACATCTTTGGACTGTGGGAGGAAACTGGAGCACCCGGAGGAAACCCACATAGACACAGGGAGAATATGCAAACTCCACACAGACAGTTGCCCGAGGGTGGAATCGAACCCGGGTCCCTGGCACTGTGAGGCAACAGTGCTAATCACTGAGCCACCGTGCCGCCCCTATAACCACTGGTCTTTCTCTAAAAGAAAGTTGTCAATGGTCTCTCACAAATTGCAACTAATTGTGGCCAGCAGATTTACTAATTTGCACAGAATAATCTTTCCTAATATCATGATCCTGGTGGGAATAGTATACTGGAAATCAAGCCCTGCTATTTCGCAACATGACCAATTTAATCTCTAAGATAGTTAAAGATAAAAGAAAATAAATTTTTCATCAAGGAACAAGAAAGCCAATAAATTATAATATAGTCATAGAGTCATACCGCAGAGAAACAGACCCTTTGGACAACTTGTCCATGCCAATCAGGTTTCCCAAGCTGAACGAATCTCATTTGCCTGCGTTCCCTCTAAACCTTTCCTGTTCATGTACCTGTCCAAATGTCTTTTAAATACTGTAATAGTACTAGCCTCTAAGGTAGTTTGTTCCATATACATCATCCTGTGTGAAAAGGTAGCCGCTCAAGTCCCTTTTAAATCTTTCCCCTCTCACCTTAAACGTATGCCCTCTAGTTTTGGAATCCCCTACCCTGGGGAATAAGCCTAGCCTCCAACATATAGCTAAAACCAATTATTAATAGTAATATGCAAATTTAAACAATAACCACTTCAAATCAAAACACATGCATCCATTCACACATAGAATTTTTCAGGAATATTGTGGGTAAGGGAAATATATAAGCAGAAGGGCACAAACTCTAAGGATGTGTTCAATCCAAAAAGGGAAATGAGGCTTTTTTTTTGTTTTTTTTGGGGGTTTTGGGCAATGACATCACATTGTCAAATGACATGATCACCAATTGGGAAGATGGTCAGATGGACCTAGGTCTTGTTTTGAGTTAAAAGTTTTCTTTCTTTTTGTAAATACTTTTGGTGTTAATACTATTCAACTTACAGAGAGCAAACAAGTGAATTCGCTTGCTGGCAGTCTTAAAAGCCTTAGTTCCAGTTGGTCTCTCTCCTCTCAGCTCTGTGTCAAGATGCTGCTTTAAAACCATACCAAGTTGTTGCTGGACAGCTACTGCTTTTTGTTTCCAAAGATATCTGATGCCAACATGACTCTCAGACACATTAAAATCCAGATTCCAACAAAAGAATACCATAGAGTTCAATTTTTCCTTCATGTTGTAAAAGCAGAACCTGATAATCCAAACTTTAATTTTTTAGTTTATATTTCCAAATAACATCGGTGTAATTCTTATAATGCGATGGAATTGAGACCTGCCTTAAAGATATTGAACAGGCTTTCATTGTTTTTGCTTAAAAAGAGAAGAGAAAGGGATGACTTGATAGAGATCAATAAGGATTCAAAAGGGTTCAAGGATAGATGAAGATGTTTCCACTCGCCAGCAAAAGCAAAAGCTCCAGGAACTAGGGGCCATAAGCACCAAACAACTGAACATAGTCATCAATTAATTCATAGGGAATTCGAGTGAAGCATTTGTAACCAGGGAATGGTTAAAAGCTGGAACACACCATCACAGTAAGTAATTAAGGTAAATCGCATGGATGTATTTAAGGGGAAATTAGGTAAACGCAAGAGAAAATGGAATAAGATGATCTGTTGATGGAGTTTGATGTAAGGAGGGAAGAGGCTCAAATGGAGTGTAAACACAGCCACGGATCTGATGGGCCAAATGGTCTATTCAATGCTATAATCTGAATTTGGCTCAAAACCTTTCTTGATATACAGATTATCCAATGTTCAAACAGAAGTCTTCTTTTCCTGCAACCAAGTTTACTTCCTACACAATCTTTAAGCTATCCCAGGTCCAAGATTGCAGAAGGATAAGATACTGTGAGACTTTTCTAGTTCCACAACTGCGCATTGTCAGATGCAATTTACCTGTCAAGATTCCATTAGGAGTGCTAACTGGTTATGTCTGGAGAGGAAATCATCAGCAACATACTTCAATTGTACCACACTGGTGGATATTAGTACAGGAGGGCAGTCCAGGAGTAACACAATACATACGTAAAAATGAGAGGTCAACCTGCTAAAGCTAAACCACAGGTCTATTTGCTCATCAACCATCGAAGCAGCAAATGATAGAAATAGTTAAACCATCCCCATCCAATGGATTAGATCCCATTTCTGCAGACCCATCACATTTAGCCGTGAATGACAGTGACAATTAAACAACTCATTAGAGGAGAAGGGTCTGCAAATATCTCCATCTTCAGTGATGGGGGAGCCAATGCACATCAGTGCAAAAGACAAGGCTGAAGTATTTTCAACAATCTTCAGCTAGAAATGATGACTGGATGATACATCTTGATCTCTCGCTGAGATCACCAGCATCTGCCAGCTCTATTCATTCCACATCAAACCAAGAATCAGCTGAAGGCACTGGATACTAAAAAAAAGCTATGAGCTCTGACAGCAATCCAACAGTAGTATTGAAGACTAGACTCCAGAATTAGCCTAACACTGGCCAAGCTATTCCACATCAACAACATTGATATTGGCACCATCAAGTGGAAACATTCCAAGGTTATCTATTTTCCAAAAAAATGCAGGACGAATCCAAGCCAACCGATTATCACCAAATTGTACTACACGCAATCATTATCAACATAACAGAAGGGATGATCAATTGAGCTATCAAGCAGCACTTGGTTTACAATAACCTGCTCACTGATCCTCAGTCTAGGTTCGCCCTTCAGCTTCTGGCCTCACGTGGAATATGAACAAAAAAGATGAACTCCAGAGATTTTGGGGAGGGAGTGTTACTGGCAAATACTACATTGCTGTCAAGGGAAAAGTGTGGCATCAAGGAGCCCAAGCAAAAAAGGACAGAGTCAATGCAAATTGCGGGAAGCTTTCCATTGGTTGGAGTAAAATATAGCACAAAGGGAGGCGATTATAGCTGTTGGGGTTCAGTCATCTTAGTCCCAGGATATCACGATAGGAGTTCTTCAGGGCAGTATTAATAATAATGCCAATAATACTGCGAAGCAGGTCAATGGGCTGAATGGCCTACTCCTATTCCTACATAGTGTCCTAAGCTCAACCACTTTCAGCAACTTCATTAATGACCTTCCTTCCATTGTGAAGATCAGATTGGGGATTGATGATTGCCCAACGTTCAACACCATCCACAGCTCCTCAGATACTGAAGCAGTCCATGTCAATATGCAGCAAGACTGGAACATAGCCAGGCTTAGGCTGACAAGTGGCAAATAACATTTGTGTCAGCTAAATCCTGGGCAATGACATTTCCAACAAGAGAGAATATTAACATTGTCCAATAAGATTCAATGGCATTACCAACAATGTAAGACTGGAGTAATCTCCACATGCCCAGATTTGTGCAGCTCCAAAAACATCAAGAAACTTAGCAACATCGAAGACAAAAAGCCTGCTTGATTAGTAGACCCATCCACCACCTTCAACTTTCATTCCTTTCAATGCTGATGCACAGAGGGAGCAATGTGCCCCATTTACAAGATGTACTGCAGCAACTCAAGGCTTCTTTGACAATATCCTCCAAACTAATAACCAATACCACCAAGAAAGAGCAAGTCAGATGATGCAGGAGATAGCTACCACCAATGGGCTCCTCGCCAAACTGTACATGATCCTGACTTGGAACAATATTGCTGCTCTATCAGTTTTGCTGGCTTAAAATCCCGGAACACTCTTCCCCCAGCACTGTGCATTTATCTACAACTCAGGACTGCCATAGTTCAAGAAAGCAGCTCACCATTAACTTCAAGAGTAATGAAGTACAGAATATAAATGCTGGCATAGCCAGTAACATGCGCATCTCACAAACCAAAAAAAAAATCCAGCCACTTACAAAAGCAATTCGTTTTGAGATCTTTTCAATTGGCGTTAAGAAAGATGGTGAAAGATAGTGAGACGCAGTTTGCATACGGGTAAACATAATGTTGCAAAGTTAGGCAGCTCCAGAGGAGACAGCAACACCTAGCCCTGCCGAGTCTTCACCATCCCCCCAGACCTCCCCCTTACTGAGGATGAACGGTCAGTCCTCAGTAAAGGGCTCACCTTTGTCCCCCTCCACCCACACATCAACGAATACCGCTCACATTTGGACATTGAGCAGTTTTTCTGCCGCCTCCGCCTCCACGCTAACTTCTTCAACCGTGAACCTAACCCTCCCTCTACTGACCCCTTCTCCCGCCTCCAACACACCCCCTCCTCCTGGACACCACCCCAAGGCCTCCTACCCTCCCTCGACCTCTTCATCTCCAACTGCCGTCAAAAAAAAAATCTGTCTCCATCTCGGGCAACCACCTAGAAACCGATATCCATTTCAAGCCCACCGACTCCCACAGCTACCTAGAATACACCTCCTCCCACCCACCTTCCTGCAAAAGTGCCATCCCCTATTCCCAATTCCTTCGCCTCCGCCGCCTCGGCTCCCAG